TCTCTCTCTCTCTCTCTCTCTCTCTCTCTCTCTCTCTCTCTCTCTCCCTCTCTCGGCTGGCTCAGCCCACCTTGGGAATGTGGCTGGTGCACCATTTGGTGCTTGGGAGTGAACTGTGGTCCCGGTGCTTTGCCAAAGCTTGACAAGCAGGTGCTTTAAACTGCTGAGCTATATTCCTAGTTGTAAAATAGCATAGCCAGAATTTGACCTTAGTCGCATTCCTCCAGAATTATTCTCTTGATCTTCTCCATGACTTTGTTTTCTCAACAAGTTCAGAGTTTCTATTCCTTTTCTGTTCTCAGACATCCTTCAAGACACTTACAAGATGATATAGTCCATAATCTTTAACTTGTTTAGTTTAAGATGCAATAAAATGAAGTGAAGTGATAGATCAGGGGTGGGCCAGGAAGACAAATTTGCAAAATTGCAGATGACCCTAGTTGTAAAGTGGACATCGTAGCTGTGAACACTGGAGCTTACCTGCCTCTCCCCTAAGACCCCTGGATCGTGAGGCCTAGTGCATGGCAGCAGCACTTCTAGAAAACTGCTCTGGGGCCAAACATCGCCATTATATGAAGAGATAAACCACGGCTCAGAGATAGGAAGTGACTGACAAATTTCCCAACCATTTCTGTGTGTAATTACTGTTTATAGCCATGTGCTTTATTGTTTTTCAATTTTTATTTTTGGGTACTGGGAATCAAGTTCAGGACCTCATGCTTGCCAGGCTGCACTGCATCCCAGCTGCATGCATGTACTGTACTTTACATTAGAACTCAGTGTACCCTTGTGATTAACTCATCATATTCTCCTCTTCACTTTTAAAATTGATTTCAGTTCTGCTTCCTCCCAAACTCCCTGACTTCTTCCTTGGCTGTCACTTGACTGATATTTCCCTGAGACAATGCTAACAAGTCATTGTGAAATTTTAAATTTCTTCCACCAAATCTTCAATCTCCTTGGTGACTAGAATTCTTTCCAATTCCCCATACTGACCTTCCACAGTATTTGCTCTGAATCCTTCTCTCCTTCTCCAAATTATGCATCAAAGATTTTTCTTCTATTTTCTGCCTAAAATCCAACAAGGGTTTCATTTCAGCTATTTCATTCTCACTGTGACATAAATTTTATTATACCCTTCATTGAAAAGTTATGATCCTTGCTCTACGTTCTTTTCAACTCTGGCCCAATGTCTTTCTCATGAGATATCTTTCTTTTTTGTTGAAAAGAATGCAGTCAGACATTAGAAGATGTCACTATAACTTTTCTCCTCAAAATTTCTCCAAAGTCACTCAAGTCACCTAGGTCCTTTACACTTCACCAGATGTGGTCTCCTGGAACCATCTGTATGACTCCTTGCCACCAAAGCCAGTGGAGCCTTCTCCATTCTTGTCCTGATATCCCAGTACCATAGGATTCATCAGATTCTTCTTACTCCCTCAGATGTAGTTCTTTTTTATTTGAGAAAGTAACATGCTCACAAACTCATTCTTAATTCTCTAAGTTTTTCTTCACTCTTTAATTCCAGCCACTGGCTATGTTTATTTCGGTCAAATTTACAAGCTTTATATTCTTTCAATAGCATTTTTAATTTCAGTTTGTGCCTTCCTATATACCCCTTTGTTCTCTGTGTATGATCATCCTACAGATGATATCCAACCTTGTGGCTTACACATTATGTTGACAACATTTAATCTAAATTATCATCCATGGCATTTACACAAAGCTCTTACCTGATAAAACCAAGCAAAACCTGTCATCTCCACATGACCAACAAAAACACAGATTAACAGTGATTGAAGAATACTCCTAAATATCTTATTGTTCCTAAGTGAGCCAATGTGACAATGTACTGAGTTTATATGTTCATTGTAAAAGCACCAGATGTATATGTCTTTGATTTTTCTTTTTTACTCAGTAATCCAGACCTAGCCCTTTTCATACTGAATATACTCAGTCATCTCTGCCTCACGATTATTTTCTCTAGTCCTGTATATATTTCACTAACTTCTTAAATAAGTTGTTTCATTCTCATGAACGTAAAATTACACCATGTTGTATAAAGACGATTTTATAAAAAAATATCGTAACACTGAATGCAACATTTTGGCCAATAACTGTCATCCCAGTTTCTCAGCAGAATGAGGTGGGACAGTGACAGTTGTGAGATCACCCAGAAAGCATAGTGAGGCTCTGTCTCAGAAGAAAATTCATAAATTATTATGTGGTTGTGCACCTCATGTGGAGTGTCCCTGTGTTAGATCCTCTCCTACACAAGAAGATAAATAAGTAAATAAAAATAATAATAAGGATGATGATATTTTTCACCTCAACAATGTTTATAATGTCCATCCTGACTCACAGTTGACCAGGGCTCCTGTTTACCCTGTCTGACCCTAAAGGGAAGGCTTTCCCACATCTTATCCCTCCACTCAGGTCTTTTGCACTGTGATCTGTTCACACCAAGCTTCCGCACTTTCTCATACATGCAGTTCTTTCAATTTCAGATGCACTGCATTCTTCACTCCCTTCTTCTTACAATGTTATTCTCTTTGAGTGTCCCTTACCTGGTTGTTCCTGATTATTCATTTCTTAACCTAAACATTATGTATGTCCTACAAAGGCTTTTTCACCCATGATGCGAAGCTCTTTCCCCAGACACAGCCAGTCTCCCCAGGTATACATGTTGTTTCTATACTGGTTGATTTATTTTTCACCCTTAGTATCCTCAGCACTAATGTATAACATCTACAAGACTATTACATTTGTTAAATGCTTTTTCTTTAGAGTTACACTCCGAAATAGAAATGTGTTGTGACCTGCAAGTACGAGTCACTCATGATTTACAATTTTCTAGTAAGTGTGTTGAAAAACAATTTAAAATTCTAGAAAAATGAGTTTTATAGACATATTTAATTAACATATCCAAAAGAATATTATTGGAATATTGGCCAGTTCAATGCCAGGCAAATACTTAGAAAGAGCTGGAATTAACACCACAAAAGAAAGAAAACAGAAGTTATAAATAGGATCACTTATACCTGGCGTTGGGCACTCTGGCTTTGAACATAACTAATGCCATTTGCACTCTGAACATTCAAAGTTGAAAGCTCAGTACCTATTGTCATCTGTTGAGTTTGATATTGGACATTTCCATTTCAGAGGCAGGAAATGTCTATAATCTAATAGACATTCAAATAATATTTCTAAATTGTCTCACTGCAACTTACCTCCAGCTGGCTTTCCTGCTTGTGTTAGACTCCTGGCTTCAAGTGGAGTAAAACAAATTCTCAGCTTTCAGACTAGATTTTATGGGTCAAAGGGAGGGACAATGAAACCAGTACTAATCACATGACAGAAACTGAAGGCTCCTTTTGGTTTCCTGTGGAAACTAGAAGCATGCAATAGACTCTTAGATACATGCTTCAACATTGAAAGGGAGAATAAATGAGTGTCTTGTGAATATCAGCATTCAGGAACCAGGTACAGGGCTTTTTTTCTTCAGAGTCAAACATTTGGAAAAAAAAACTGTTGATGTGAGAAGAATTAGAGGCAAACAGTAAAAGAGAGATGTTAGTTAAATAAAAACGCACTTCTCCATTTAATACATTTACATGGATTTTATGGTATTTGCCAATTCAAATTCTTCACGGATATTCGCTCTGTGTCCTAGAAATCTATTCTGTCCCAACCCCTTCAAGATGCAAAGGACCAGTTTACAGACTATACAGAAATGAAAGGTTTTTGTTGGTATCTTCTTTTAAATTGTGCATCATAAATTTGGATATATATGGAGGGCAATCACTGAAATGGGAGGAGTGTAAGTCTGCAGGGTCGGTAGCTATAACACAGCACCATAGAGGAGGGGATTATATAATAGGAACAAATGATCTTTCTGTCACGGGAGTTGGAAGATAGGCCAGTGGT